GTGTGTGTGTGTGTGTGTGTGTGTGTGTGTGTGTGTGTGTGTGTGTGCATGAGTTCATTATGTGTGCATCTAAAGATTGCCACCTGCATCTCCAGACCTTTTTATTTTGTTTATTATTGCTGTTGTCTGTGTTTTGAGACTATATAGCCCTGCCTGGTCTGGAGAGAGATTGGCCTGCCTCAGCCTCCTTAGCGCTGTAGTTTAAGACTTTTACTATCACTCCTGCCTCTTTTCTCTTTGAGATAAAGTCTCGCTGGTTGGTCCATGCTAGCCCTGACATTACAGTTATTTCTCATGCTCCCAAATAGCTGGGATAACGGGGTGGCCAGGCTCTGGAAGCCCCTCCAGGAAGTGCTCAGTGGGGGCTGAACAAGGAAAGCCTGATTGGGGGTTGGTGGGGTGGCCCTTCCTGGACTAGGCCATAGTCCAAGTTACTTGGATCCTACGACTGTGTTTTAGCCTTTCCATGTGGCCTTGGATGAGGCTCTTGCCCTGTCTCAGCCTCAGTTTCCCTGTGTATACAACACAATGAGGGAGGGCCCACCAGGCCTTGCCCCCAAGTGCTCCCACTGAGAAAGCTAAGCTGTAGCTGCAGACTGGTTAGGACTTTTGTGTACACAGCCCTGGCCACTGGACCTTTACATAAGCTGCATGGAATCTGACCCCTGGCCCCCAGGCCCCAGGATATTGCTGTATTTGCTTTAGAGCCTTGGAGATAAATCCTCCAGCCTTTTAAAGACCCTAGTGGCCTGGGGCCAGGGTTTGGGTGAAAATATTAGAATACCCTTCCTGGTTCTGTCCCCCCCCCCACACCCCCAGTTCACTGATGTACTATTGAACAAGCTGAACAAGCCAACCATCTTGTGTGCAAAGCTTCCCCCTTGTAGATGGAGGCTGGGAAGGCTCACTGGATCCTGTCACCATCTGCCCCTCTCAGCATCTGTGTGCAGTTCTACCCTGTTGCGCACGGCTTGGGGGCGGCTCGGGTGCATAGGCTGGGGAAGACTCGGGGAGGGGGTGCTAGCCACACAGTCACGGGGGCGCCCAGGGTCGCTGCTTTGGGGTGACCCTTTCTCCTCGCCTTAGCCCTTCTGTCAAGCTCTATAGGTGAACCTAATAACCTCACTCATTCTCTGGGCTAAACTTTGGCTTGCTGTTGGGACCTTGGAAAGGGGGGAGTAGATGCTCGCACTTCCCCCCTGGGAAGGAATTTTAGCAACACACCTCAGCGTGTGAGTGTGGGCGTGAGGAGCACAGTGCAGGTCGGAGGACAACCTCAGGGGTTGGTCCTTGCCTTCTGCCTCGCTTAGGACAAACTCATGCTCCCCACTCCATACACCAGGCTAGCTGATCAAGAGATTCCCATATCTCCAGCTCCTACTTCACCCCAGAGCACCCAGCTTTACGTGAGTTCTGGGGATTTGAACTCAGGTCCTCACCCTCTCCTGGTAAGCACTTTATCCATTGAGCCATATCCTCAGCCCCTCAGCTGCCTCATAACAATGCACAATTGGAGTCTTAGCTCTAGAATCTATGTGAAGTGACTGGCCAAGTGAACTCTGCAAGCCTCAGTTTCCCCATTTATGATCAACAAGAGCACCCCAGCCTCACAGGGCCATTGTTTAGTCTATGCATGTGCCATGATCCTCCCACTGGCCCCATTGTCCCTGGCTAGCTCTTCTGGACTCGCTGGCTTCCCAGGGGCCACACAATGTGGTAGGGTTCTGAGGCCTGTGGTTAAGGGCCACCGTGCAACTCCCCAGGCCTGCGAGTGTGGCATGGCTCCTTGGCTCGCTGAGAGAAAGCAAGTGGGGGAGCAGCAGGGAATGGGGGAAGGCCTTGGGCAGGGGGTGGGGAGCAAGCTGGAGGGCCGGCCGGCAGCTCCACGCAATCTGTCTGCTATGCAGCCTCGGCCCGGCCTGTATTTATTTATGCTTCGAGTGTATTTATATCAGCCCCTTTCTCATTATTGCGACAGGAAGCGGCTAGAATTGTTACCTGGCCGCCTAGGGGTCCCCCTCGGCCAAGACACACAGGGCCCTTGGCTGTCTCGCTGCGATTGCGAGGGGGCCCATCCCTAGACTCTGGCCCTTCACTGACCCTCTCGCTAGCTCTGGCCCCAAATTGCTCTTATCTGTGGGGCCATAGCCTGGGTGACGGGTCTGCTTCAGTTTCTCCCTGTTCCCCTGGCCCTCACCCCAGCTGACCCCAAATAAGGCAAGGATTTCAGGGGCTACATAGGGGTGACTGGAGATGAGCAGCCAGGTGGAACAACAAGATTTGGGGGTGAGGGATCAAGGTCCCCCAGCTTAGGGATGGAAGCCTGGTTGTGCTGGTGTGAGCATGGAGCTCTCTGGAGAGTAGCTCCCCACCAAGCCCACCGGAGCCCGGGGAGCTTTCCACTTGAGGCTGTCCCGCACCCTCACGCCCTCAAAAGCACTCTCCGCCATCTCTCCCCATTGTCCCCAGCTTGTCAAAAGTTGGGGGACCCTCTGGGGTCCTTATACTCCACTGAGAACTGCCCATCTCTTTCCCGACTCAGCTCTGGTCTTGGCCCCAGGTGGGGCTTGCCAGAGCCAAGAGGCGCAGCACCCTCCCCAGAGCTCTGGCCTGACACAGCCTCAGCCTGGAGGCTCAATGGCCAGTCTCCCCACCACACCACAAGATGCTGACCCTGCTGTCCCGGGTTGTAAAGAGCTCACTGTATAGCCCACAGCACCCCACCCCCAGCTTCCTTCCTCACAGGACTTAGGGGCTGATGTCTACCCACAGGTCTCAATGGCCCTGCGGTTGAATGGGGTCGACCTCTGACCTCTGCCTCCTATGGCTGCCATACTTTAGTGCCTCAGAGTCAGAAGAGAATGGGTCTCCTTCTTGTTTTGTGACCTTTGCCCCTGGTGGGAGATTGGGGGTGGAAGGCTCTCCTTAGGCAGTCAAAGCTTAAAGAGAAAACTTACATTGAGGGGCTGGAGAGATGGCTCAGCGGTTAAGAGCAGTGGCTGCTTTTTCAGAGGACCTGGGTTCAAATCCCAGCACCCATATAGCAGCTCACAGTGGTCTGTAATTCCAGACCCAGGGTATTGGATGCCCTCTTCTGACCTTCTTGGGTAGCAGACACACGTGTGGTACACAGACATACAAACATGCAAAACACCCATACACATAA